CATCACAGCATTGCTCGAGTATGGGCGTGTGGATGAGCCTATCTCTCTCTTTGCGAGCATGAGAGAGAAGGGTTTGCAGCCCAATGCGCAGACATATACTGCTCTGATCACTGGGTTTGGCAAAAATCGAGCCAACTCGAACTAGCACTAACGGGTTGTACCACAAGATGGTGAGGGAAGGCTTGGTACCCTTACGACTATCACGGTATAATGCTCTCATAAATGAATTGTGTGAGGGAGGGAAACTAGTTTCTGCTATCAAGATATTTGATTGGATGGGGCGGCATGTTCGCTTGGCTGGGACTGAAACTTTATAATGCGATGATAAAAGGATTCTGTTTGATTGGAAATGTTGAGAGGGCCATGATACTATATGATGAAATGCTGAAGGTGGGTCCCGCTCCAAATGTGATCACATATAACACGCTCGTCAATGGATATGCGAAACGCGGTTATCTAGACAATGCCAGGAGGTTGATGGAGGTGATGAAGGAAAATGGATGTAAGCCCGATCAAGTGACGTACACGGAACTTGTTTCTGGATATTGCAAAGGGGATAAACTTGACGTTGCTTCTGAGTTATTTCAGGAAATGATGCAGCAAGGTTTGACCCCGAATTTGATTAACTATAGCGCTTTGATCGATGGTCTAAGCAAGAAAGGGAAAGTTGATGATGCGTTGATTTTGTTTAAAAGGATGCAAGAGATTGGTTGCCGTCCAAATATTGAAGTTTATAATGCTGTTCTTAATGGGTTTTCTAAAGAAGGTAGGTTATCCGAAGCAGAGAAACTATGCAGTAAGATGGCAGAGTGTGGGCTGCTTCCGAATGTAATTACATACTCGACTTTAATCGATGGTCTCTGCAAGAATGGTGGGATAGATCTCGCTCTCAAGATTTTTCATGAAATGGAGAGAAGAAATTGCTTACCAAACTTGTACACGTATAGTTCATTGATCTACGGCCAGTGTCAGGTAGGCCGGGTTGATGATGCAGAGATAATGCTCGAAGAAATGGTGATTAAAAAATTATATCCTGACGAGGTTACATATACCTCGTTGATTGATGGATTAGCTTCCCTAGGTAGACTCGATAGTGCATTTTCGCTTCTTCGTCGAATGATACATGCAGGCTGCAAACCAAACTACAGGACCTACTGTGTGTTGTTGATAGGGATGCAGAAAAAAATGGCGGTCCAACATGAAACTGTTCATAGTCACACTATAGATGCAAAATGTGTTATTTTTGAAACCTTTTGCAATCTGTTAGTTAAGATGTCTGAGATGGGCTGTGAACCTTGTACCGATACATATTACATCTTGATTGCTGGTCTGTGTCGTGATGGAAGAAGTTACGAGGCAGATAAGTTGGTCGAATTTATGGAGGAGAAAGGGCTGAGTCCTAACGAGGCAATATATTGCTCTCTCCTCGGTGCTTATTGCAAGAATTTGAGAGTAGATGCTGCTCTAGATATACTTAATTTGCTGACTGTGAGAGGGTTCAAGCCCCCTTTATCAATTTACGCAGCTACTATATCCGCTCTCTGCAAAAGAGAACGGATCGAAGAGGCTGAAGTGGTGTTCGAAGACATGCTTGAGAAACAATGGAATGGCGATGAGATTGTGTGGACTGTATTGATTGATGGCCTGCTTAAGAAAGGGAAACCGGAAGTGTGCTCGAAACTTCTTCATGTAATGAACTCGAAAAGCGTCCCTATAAGTAAGCAGACATATCTGATGCTAGCAAGGGAGATGTCCAAAGCTAACAAATTAGTCGAGGAAAACCGAGTTGATGAAGAATTGCAAGTCCTAGGAGACCAAAGACCAGGATAAGGTCCTGTTTGAGTTACCGAACAGAACAAATGCATCCTTATTCGATATTCCTCGTATTTGCTGAATCAGAGGCTGGGATGCCCTTTCTGCGACACCTGTAGAAAGGATATCAAGTTAAAACTGCAATCAAGTAAGTGGTAAGCTGATTATGCTATTCTATATACAGTTTAATTATGTTTTCTCGTCTTTTTTTTCTTCATGGTTTGTATAGCCGAGCCTATTCGGGAAAGAAAGTTGATTTGACAATAATAATTAATTTAATCTTTTGTTGGTCTTCTACCTACCATTTGCTTTTGTTTCTGATTTTTGATTATTTATAATGTAGATCATATTATTACTCGCATATGGAGCTGCGCAATTCCTGGGATCGATCTCATGCATTTGTCGTCGTTCTAGGATGAGAGATTTGGCTTAATGACTGGTCCACTGATAATTTCAGGTAATACTTTGATCCTTAATTTTGTATTATTAACATAAGCGTTTGGGGTTTGAACTCGATTTTATGGCACTGAAAAGATATAATTGTGTTTTTGAATAACAGCATTAGTTGCAAATACACTCTCCTTTAAAGGCACTTGCGAGTTTATAGCTGTTTATATCGAAGGTCAACATGGCAAAGTTAAAGCACTAAAAAAGCACTACTCGTTGAGGTTAAATGAGATGTTTCATACCGTTGATTGAATTGATTTCCCTAATTAGTGATAACAATGTGCATTGTTGTAATTGTCTGCCATTATGATTTGTGGTTTTTTGGTTGGGATGTTTTTCGGGACTAGAAAAAACTAATGCAAAAATCGACATTTATGGTTGCAGTGATCTGCTGGCAAGTTATATCTCGAGTGCGATTGTGATTGGATGCATGTGCTTTGCCTCCATTTGTGTAGCCAATCACTTGCAGGTAAATACCGAGTACGCTTATTTTTAGAAGCCTAGTTCTAATACACTGAGAAAAATACTCGTGCATTGCCTAGTTGTGGTTGATAATTAACTTCTACATAAGGCTCTTTCTCGACTAATATCTGAATCAGATATCATGTGTTTCTATGACCCTTTTTTTTCTTTTTTCGAATAAGTTGGACCGTGGGACATTTACATAAAACTTGTCTGAAAATTTCCTCTCCAATCAAAAGGAATTGTTCGTCACATGAGTCGGGGCCTTCATTTTTTTTGTTTTGTTTCTTTTCATTAGATAGTAGGCATATGTTCTTTCTCCGTTCTTTAATGGCCTTTACTTGTTACTTTCTTGAATCCAACCTCGGTTCTCATGGAATTTTGATTTCGACCTTTTTCTTATCCAGATTCTTATTATACAGCTGGAAATATACGGCATCAGAGACGTCTCGAGTTGTTCAAGAATGCAAGTTGGGACCCGTCGACACAATTTGCTGAATGTGAAAATTTTGATTGGTGCGTTTCTTGGACAGCAATACTTGACAAAATTAACACGAAAAAAGAGATCCCTTATTGGGAATTAAATTAATCAATCAAGATCTATTTATTTTCTGGCGATCCTCCGTTTTTTATTTTATACACAGCAGCCTTGTAATTGTAATGCTTAAATTAGGCTTAGCTTGTAAAATACTTCATCATTCTTTCTTGAATTAATACAGACCATTTTTCAGTATAAGGATGATTGCTTATATTTTGTATTACTTCAACAAACTCAATGGCTACTAAAATTTGACAATGGGAATCAAATTCAATAATCTATATTAGTTTTATTTAAAAAATAATCGAATTGTCATCGTTTGGCAGCCAACGCAAAGAAAAGAAACAAACACAAGAAAACAACGAACCATCCATTAGACAACAAAAGTGGAACCATCCATCGAAGTACAATCGGAGTGCTCAAAACAAACCGACGCTCACATCATCCCAACCAACCTTATATTCCACCAAACACATCCTTACAATCACTATGTCCATTCCCATTTGGCCTTATTCCAATTCTTTTTTATTTTAAGAAATTAAAAATTTAATCTTTTAGCCTTTTTCCTTCAACATTTAGCTATTCAATGAAACTCCTTTTGCCTTCGCACACTCAAATCAGCCTCCCTTAATATTATTTACGTTACCCTCTCCAACATTTTCCTCTTGGTTTTTGCTGCATGATCGCCCGATTCTTCTCTCTCCTCCGTCATCCAAGAATCGTTTGGTAGGCTGATCCATATGAAGCCGTTCGATAACTCTACAAACTCGTGGCAAAAACAATAACATTCTTCCAATCTCTCTCTCTCTCTCTCTCTCTCTCTCTCTCTCTCTCTCTCTATATATATATATATATATATATATATATATATATATATACACACACACACACACACACACACACACACACACACAACACTCCAAGGAAAAAAATACAAATTAGTTGAAGCCTCTCTACTTTAGTTTCCTGCAAATCTTGATATATATATATCAGCACACACAAAACACTCTAGTTGATCAATATTATTACAAGTTGAAAAAAACGAGAACGATAATGGGAAGGCAAAACAAGGATCATGCAGTAGTTGGATCATCGATCGCACTATTGCAAGAGAGATTTAAGCAGCTGCAGAGATTGAAAGAGATGAGAGAAGAGAGACAGCTTCTCAGTCTTCTGCCTCAAACAAAAGATTGTTATTATTATGAAGAGCCTTCGGAAAAGCTAATAATAAGCACTAGCTTTTCAACTTCTGATCAATCAGCTTTGCGGGACCCACTTGCCCTCGGACTCAATTCCCATGCCCGTGACGACGTGGCACATTTTCGAGCAATTAAACCTGCTAGGCAGTTTACTTCTGCTACTGCAAGAGGGGCCCACAGCAGTTTCTTCGAAAAAACTGATGTTGTCGATACTTCTCTTCGTCTCTAGATTGGAAACTCTCCCTTATTATTTGTTCTACCGTCTTATGTTCTTCATATATGTTTTCTCACATGTAACGAAAAGTTGATAGAATAAGAGAAACTATATATTGTGATGAATAACGTATATCTAATCTTTCTGATGTCTGTATAAAAAATAATTTGCTTGTGCATGCTGTTCGGGATCAAGATGAACAAAAGGCAAGATGTTCGAAATTCTATTTTAGTCTATAATTAGGCGATGACAATGTACAATATTTGTTCATAAGAAATACACGAGTGTCATATGTGAAAAATGCAACATCGGGTTAATTCTTCTTTCTCTTGAGTTGCATCCAATCACTATTTCAACTTCGATATAATTTCTCTCTTCATGCAAAATACCGCAAACTGAACGCCTTAGCCTCTTATCAAACAACACTTTGCTCAAGCTTTCGACATCACTACACGTCATTCGAACTCTCCTTTGACCTGTGCTTTCGTTTCTTACTCCTGTGTCAACAAAACACGATTTACATGTGTGTGTGTGAGAGAGTAATTTTTAATTTTTTTAAAGAAAGTAAAATGTTAAGTTTATAGCGAGAGTACTTCTCGTGTGAACTTGGATCCAAACATGATTTGAGCTTCCTATCAATGTGCTTTACGTCTTTTGACGTAGGAGTCTCGAGCTTGTTTATCTGTATAACATTTCAAAATATTCCCACATGTTAAGTGCAATCAAACGACATAAGCATAGGTATCTAATCGAGAGAAAAACTACACCAGAATATCAATTGCATTAAGCGGAAGGTGGAGATCTGAAAGTCCATGAGCTGGATGCTGCCGTGAGAGCATGCTTTTAATATATCTGCATAATGGTTAATACAAATTTATTTCCAAAAATAAATGCATTTACATACTAAACACAAATATTTATATATATATATATATATATATATATATATATATATATATATATATATTCAAAATTTGGTGGTTTTTGAACCTCTCGAAGTCGTTGACTTTATGCACCTCACAAGACCTGCGTAAAGCTGCCAATGCTAGCTGCACAAACAACACAAGTCAAAATGACACTGGTCAAAGATATTTTTCATCATAAAGTTGAACTGTGCAAATAAATAAATGAAACAAGTGTCCTCGGAAATGAATACGATATTAAGGAAACAGTACCTGACCTGGTGGGAATAGAAGGGGAGCCTCCGTAAGCATAATTTTATCAACCTCCAGTTTTGCAGATTCGTGCAAATTCTACAGCCAAAATAAGAACATTAAAGATAAGCAACAAAAAACGAAGATGTTTAAGAAACCCTAGTAGTTAATCTCATAGCTAACCGACTTTAAATGAAAATTATTAATGAAGTTTCTTGCATGAAGTTCAAGTAATATCAGAAATAAGGCGATCAACATAATTCAATTAGGGCTAACTTGTGTTAATTCCTTTACACCTGATAATATTGCAGGATATATCCAAAGACCAGAATAATACTTTGCAGTAATGCAGAAAGAGAAAAAGAATGTTAAAACAACTCAAACAAGAAGAGATAAGAAAGGACCTTTATTATCTCAGTCTGCCCTGCCATTTTCGCGCCATAGATCTCCTGCAGAGTTGAAAAAACCTTCATAAAACGCCATTGCCAATTGCCATATAAAACGAAGATGCCCAGAAAAGGAAGTAAACAATATAGTGCTTTCTCTATATGAAGAAACGATGGTGAAAAGGAAAGCTGGTTCTTATTAGATGTATAGAGTTACACTAAACGAACCTCCATATCACCGATAAAGCCTTGAAGAGCCCGATATGGTGCATAAACAATAAGGTCGAATCCTAGACTCTGCAGTGACAGAAAACACTATCAGATTATTAAACATGTACAAAACAAATATGAAAAAGTAAAAAGATATGTGATATTCGTACCTGAAGAACCAGCATTTCATTATTAAGGATCACCTGATGATCCTGTTCAATCCCTTTCCCAAGCTCCTCTGCCGATACATGGTTCTCCTCTGCCTTACAAGCAGCATATATGCAGGTTAACCTGCAAGACGAATGATTTTTTCAGTATTCTTTTTTTTTTTTAATAAATAGTAAAACAATTGATAACCCATCCATAAGAAATACGGTAATCAAGAAGCAGCCGTACATGATAATCTTTGGATGATGTTCCATCACAGACCATTGCAAATAGAACCTCTTAAAGTAAATAAGAGCAGTCGCCTGCGGAAAAGATACAAATGTAAGTTTGAATAGCAATCATCTAGAATTTTTTTGATTTAACACTGTTTCCAGGAATATTAATTACCTGAATTTTACGCGGAAATTTGAAGGCATCGCAAACATCTTGGATTTTAAACTCATAGAAAGCTCGAAGAATTTGCTCTTCTTCTGTCTTGAGTGCTTTAGGGCGTGAATGCTTCTCCGCTGAAACACCAACAAGGTTTATGGTATTTGGAAACAAATGCAGATGGGATTTTTTTGAAAGATGAGGAGCGTACCGTTATCTTTTACGTCATTTTGTGGTTCGGCATAAATGAATGATCCGTCAATATCTACTTCCATCCGAGTTGCTCCATACTTTTACAACATATATACAGTCTTAGCATCATTTGGATTTCTTAAAAAAAGCAAACCATGCTACAATAAAAGTAAGTTCGCAAACAATTTCAGATGAACAACCACAACGCAAATTACACGAAAAGGCACACTTTAAGCTTCCGTAGATATAAAGACGACATATATATTATAAATATACATTTATTCGTCGATTATAAACCAATGTTTATATATATATATATATATATATATATATATATATATATATATATATATACTACAAACCAAAGAAATACAGAGACGTACCATCTCAAGTGCTTGCTTCGCTCGTTTATTAGCATCCTTGTATTTTTCCTTCTGAAAAAATCACAAGAATTGGAGGTTGATACCATTTCATGCTAAAGAAAGTGATACGAGTACATGTGCACACACACACACACACACACACACACACACACACACACAACCGGAATTATGACACTCTCTGTTTAGTTACAATTTCCTAACAATTTTATATCATACTACATCCCGTTAACCACAACCAGAACCATTACTTCGATTAAATAAATTTATTTCAGACTACATTCCGCTAACAAAAATTTGATAAGATGCCTACAGTTGAATAAAACACCCATTAACCACAACAAAGAGCATTGACAAAACACCCACAGTTGAATTTCAATACGTTCTCCCGTGCATGTACACTTTTTTATTACAACAATTGTTCCCAATCCCAATACCTAAAAGTAAATTCCCCAAAATATGATCCCAATACACCTGGAAATAACACAAAGAAAGCAATATTTTTTTTCTCCATGATCGACACAGTGATAAAGAAGAAAAGAAAAAAAAAATGAAAACTTTTGAGAGGAATAGTCATTACAAGATCATGAGGAGTGAATATCCACTTTGATCTGTGAGTCGAGGTCGTAAAATCCGCCATTGATCTCTGCCGCCTAACAAATGTAAATTAAAAGGTACATCAATTAAAAGAACGTAGTAATGTTTTCCTCTCTGTCAAATATGGCTGCATCACTAACACCAATAAATTTAAAATCGACAGCTTCGCAAACTTGCATTTAGCAAATCGCAACCGTTAGAAACCCGTATCGATATCAAAAGTACTCTTAAATTTATAACCCATTCAATGTTCAACTCCAAGTCTACAATGGCACGATCCTCCATATCCCAATAGGTGTAATAAAAGTACACAATTTACGCATACCGTGCTGCATTACAGTTTTAACAAACAAAAGAGAAACAAAAAATTCACAAACATAGAAAAGGATACTTCAATTTCATCTGAAGCAGTTATTGCATTCGTTTTCATGAAATTATAATCAACTCAGTATTTGCGATAAAATAGATAAATACTTGTCCACAAAAAAGAACAATCACCGTCAACAATACTTCCGCCGCCTCCGTCGCCGGTGAATGAATTCGAGGATTTGGGGGTTGGGACCGGCTTCAGCGAGTAATTCTGTCGGACTTGTGAAGTTTTGAATTGAATTTTGAGAAAGCCCTAGCCCCTAATTTATAATGGATTTGGTAACCAAAATAATGTAAGAAGTATCTAATTAGAAACTAAATTAAATTAATTGTTTGTCTTGAATGAATTGTTTTTATCATTTTTTTTAAATAATGTTACGAGTGAATAATTATGGAGGGATTTCCTAGAAATAACTAAAGATGTTTTTTCTCATTAAAAAGAAGGGATAATTTGACAAAACTCACTCATTACACAAGTGTCATTATAATGAGCCCAATTTTATTTTACATATTTTAGATAAATCCAAAACAGTTTTTATTAATTAAAAAAATTTAATTATCACCATTATACCCCTTATTAAGAAATAGTGTATATTTAATTTTGGTATTAAAAAATTTACAATATATTTTCCATTAAAGGGGTCCTAATAATTAGGGAATTAGTTACCCATTTTAATGAACATATTATCTTCTATTCTGCGTGTTCTCTCTCTCTCTCTCTCTCTCTCTCTCTCTCTCTCTCTCTATATATATATATATATATATATATATATATTGAATCCTGGGTGCATATAAATATATAATGTATGAATGTATTTAGATCTTCGGATCTCGAACCAAAACCCCTTGTGGTCCATCTCTCTCTCTATCTATATATATATATATATATATATATATATATATACTAGTGAGGCCACACCGCGCCACGCGCGGTATATAATGCCCTGTATAGCTGAATTAATTCGATTGTTATACAAAAGAGAACAATACTCTAGTATGCACCAAAGAGACATAAACAACAAAATAAAAACACATAATTAAATGAAAATTAACAAGTGCTCCATGGAACCAACTCTTATAAACAAAAACATAATTATCAATAAACAATCCAAACCTATAAGCATAGTAATTACAAAGACACATAGTACAGGATGAACATTCCATGATGGTGAATTAACAAGTGTTAAATTTGATATTTGGTTTCATCTCAAAAAAAAAAAAAAATTGATATTTGGACATTTACAGAGTACATTATTTCAATTAAATAAAGTCTAGTTAACTGTGAATCTCCCTTTTGGAATTTCTTCAACCAGGATTCACCATGCCCATTAATGGTGCCATCATCCCCTGAAAAGAAAATCAGGTAAAAAATTAATAATTCAAATACCACAATTTTTTGACAAAGATTATTATATTATATAAATACATACAACCATCTTTTTTAAGAAAAAAAATTGACCTGTAATAACTACATCAATTAGGTTGATACCAAAGATGAGGCTTATATAAAACAAAAAAACTATAGTTAAATTTCCAGAAGAAGAAAGGGACATCTAACTGAAAAACATAAATAATTTGTATTTAGTACTCTGCATTATGTCGAATTTGCTGAAAAACTCACTGTGTTATAAATATTAACAAAAAAGCCATAGGATGCATTTTTTAGCACACAACACCCTAAATGGTGTGTTTTTAGGGGTAGTCAGCTAAAAAATTGCACAATAGGGGAGTTTTTGCTAATATTTATAATATGAGGAGCTTTGTCACAATTAAAGTAAATACAGTAAATGCAGGGGTCAGGGGTGCTAAATGTAATAAACCAAAAACAGAAATAGTAATAAAAGAAAACATAAAATTAAAACCTGAGAAGCGAGAAGAACAACATCTTTATGGAGAAAGAATGTAAAATGGCTGGTCAAATTAAAGCTTCCAGTCAACCCCACTTCCCAGAAGGAACAAAGAGCATCGATCCACCGTCCGATTCGAACTGGCTGAGATGATCGACAACCATCTGAAAAGCTCTGGTATTCGACGTCGTTCCATCACCTACCCCGCCAAAATTCGTCAGAGATACCCCGTGGCAAAAAACAAATGCACATAAATCTGTATTCAGAGAAAATATAAAACGAAGGCACATTACATGACTCTATATAATAAGTGTAAAGAAAGAAACAAATACTGACTAATACAAGTACAATTGTCGATTGCAAAATGAAGTATAAAAGAATTAGAAACATGTTATTACAAGATGAATTAGAAATTCATAATTTCACTTCCGATGAAAAAATACAACTAATAGACGAAACTTCATTATATGGACCTAATTAATACTTGATGACTTGCATTCATAAGTTATAGCAAATGCTCACTATTTGGGAAACATTACTTCCATTAGTTGTAGACATAAATGAAATATACGTAAACACAAACAATTAGTAATAAAACAATTATTATAGCAGTTATCTCAATCAATAAAAAAAATGAAAAAATAAAAAATTAAATTAAAAAAGCATACAAATGCTCTTGCTGTTTTTTGTCCTATTCTTTTTTGGTCTCCAATGTAATAGATGTTAACACATAGGAAAGCATTTCTGAATTTTTGAACTTAGTTAAAGCAGAAGTTTGCTTTATTATATGTCTGCTTCTTCTTGTAACTTACATTTTTTTAGACAAAACAACCAATATCATAATAGATAATCACATAGGATTCTAACTTCTAACAAGTTCCACAAATACGCCGTCAAAGACATACACATCCGCAACCAAACTACACACAGCTACATAGAAACTCAGACTACAGAGGTGTCGTCATTGCATATAATATATTCGAAGACATGCATATAATATTAAGTATCAAGAAAGGGAGAGAAATATACCCATAGGATATCATCTTGCCCGAGTAAGCTTGAGTGGTTTCTATTAGCATTTCCAAGGATATCAGCTAAAAAAATATCAGAGAAGAGCAATAAGCGATTGAAAGCAAAACACATAACCTCAAATCAAATGCAAATGAAAGCAAGGACATAGATCAATTACAAAACCATTACACAATACACTGAACAACTGCAAATGAAAGCAAGGACAGCCAATTTTTCCTATATAATTGGGTTTTGACCAGATATGGATAACATGCCTATCTGATGAATGTTGACTGAAACTTCTGCAAAACCAAATTTGAATACCCATGGTGAAAAACATAAATTTAACAACCATGTAACAACAATTTTGAATTTGAAGAAATAATTTAGTCGACGATATTGAAAAGGATATGCAGTTAATTAAAAGACAAAAAACCAACTATATTAGATAATTAAAATACTCGTAGAACACAGAAACAAAAAAACATAATATAATTCCATAACAACAAAAACTGAGATCCAAAGATACCCTTTCAATAAACAAGTGTGTGTTGCCTGGTTTGGACAGGAGGCAGACGGAGAGGATTGTCGGAGGCGGAATGAAGAACTAATCAACCGAGCACCAAACCACATCAGTATACCTGCAGTCAAAGTGTTTACATCCATTAATACAACAATAATGATAAATGGAAAGGAAATATAAACATTCTTTAGTGATTAATGAATTGACTGATGCAGAGGATACCACGTATGTCACTGACTCAGTAAATGGACGAGACAACGTCTTCCGCCCCGCCGAAAAGTCTGCAATCGCTTAAGATAATAAGATAAATAGATAAGTGGGCTTACTTAAATGGATCCCACATAAACAAGTGAAAGAAAAAAGTTAGTAGCAAAAATTAGGAAGATCTGCACAAATTTCGCACCAAAGTGTAGCTTAACATGATTAATCAAGAAAGAGAGAAAAAATTATACCCAGACCCATTCTGCAGGGAATAAGGCAGTTGTCTTCTGTTAGCATTTTCAAGAACATCACCCAAGCACATAAAGAAAAAGGGAATGAGTCTAACATAATCATAGCGTAAACTTTATTTGGGGATAAATGAGAAAGATAACATACCAAATGTAATCGAGAGCAAACCTAAAGAGAAAAAATAGAAACAAATTAATTTAAGAACAATATAAACAAGCGAGACTAAAAATGCGATAGAGTTACAAGCCCTTCTACAATTAAAAAAAAAAACAGTTAATAAATACAAATTTACCTAAATGGATTGAACAAAGAAAATGGAGGAAACGAAGAACCTAATGGCTGAGAACCTCGGCAGTTTTCGGCATCGGCATAAAAAGGTTAGAAAACCCCTATTTTGTTGTTGTTGTACTCACGAAACAGAGATGGGGATTGAAAACCTCCATCGGATGTGCAAAAAATACATCGAATGACTGATGATTTGCGGGCGGTTTGCTTTGAGAGTGCAATTTTTAGGGTTTTCCTTTAGTTGGGTACTGAAATGGCCTCCGGAGAATGTAAAATTGGAAAGAGAAATGAGACGATAAAGATTGTGTAAACCCACGTCCCACAGGCTACACCGGAAGCTACAAACGTCAAGGTGGGATTGACAAGCGAGAGAACGCAGAAGCAGACTGACAACCGCCGAAAGCAAGCGCGTGTAAATGAACACAACTCGCGTGAGTTTGTTAAAGAAAAATGGAAAATACTGGAAATATTAAGAGAAGGGCCCACGGATATGGGCGGACCATAAATTTGAGCAGCAAAAGAAATTGGAAAAGAAAAGGCGTCCACGCTTTATTTGGATTTTTTTCCGATTAAACGACGTCGTTTTGTGTGCGTTTTGTGTTAAAATAATTAGAAATGTAATATTATTGCACTGTTCATTTGAGGCCTACATCTTTATAGTTTTGTAATATATATATATATATATATATATATATATATATATATATATATATATATATATATATATATATCCGTAAACCACTAT